AATACTGGTGTTTGTTCTATGTTTTAGTTCCGGTTTCTTTTTAGATGTAAGAAATAGAGACCAACTGGCATTAGCTAGCCCCTGCCTAACAAAGGAAGTTTACTGTAAAGGCTCACATTGAAAGAAAAAAGGACTGGTATCACAGTAAAATCTGGTTTTATGGACATTGAAGCTGAATGGTGGTTCGGTTTCAAGTTATCCAGAGTCAATAGATGTTGATTCCATTGGTCCCCAGTCTGCATAATTCTGCTACTTCCTTCAGTTTCACTTTGAGCAAGCTTCTTCGTAGTTTCTGCCTGCCATGGTTTTGCACAGGGTCCTCCAGCAAATTCTTAGTTCAAATCTCCAAGAAAGAATATGATTGTCTCAATGCCTCTTTTTGTGTCAGTCAGAGGTGGAGAAGCAGGCTATGGACTGGTTCCTAAAATCAGGTGCCCATGTCTAGTCCAGTCATTTTTACCTGATTGGGCCCGTCTGGCCAGACATGGTCATCAAGGCAGCAGAGGCTCCTGATGGAGCAGTTAGGCATGATAGGTGGTTCTAGCTAATACAATTACAGGTAGGTCACTAATAAAGAAAAATGGGCCCAGCACTTACCTAGGTACATTTTGGGGTGGAAACATCGTAACAAAACTGTTAAAAACAAAAAAACAAAAACCTCTAATCATTTTGTTGCTTGTTCAGATTCTGCGAAATGCACCCTCATAGATTTGGAGCTGGAGCTCTATATAAAATATAAACATAATTCACATAATTATGGATTTTTTTTTTCTTGAAAGGAAGACTGCTCATAGTTAGCCATTGATCCAGTAGTATTGACCCATCATTGTAATGTGAGGAGGCAATCACTGGCAGAGAAGCTCCTTAGTAACTCAGACCTTCAGTGTCGCAATTTTTGCCTTAATAATTATTGTCAAGTTTATAAATAATCCCTATAAGTGAAACAAGCAAAAGTTTTACTTTGGTTTATTAAAGTCTTTAGTTGCAGTAAACCTTATTTATATGTATAAATTATTCAAATGCCTGGAAATGCTGAGTTATGAATCATATTGCATTCAAATGTCTGTAAGACTTTTGTTTCATATTAAAAACATTTTATTAAGGAATTAATTGTGCTATACTTATTTCAGGAGTTATATTCAAGAAGTAAATTTAATTTGAAGTACATTTAGAAATGTAACAGATTATGTAAAGTAAGTAATTTTCAAGTTAAAATTTACTATAATTTCCTACCACATAATAATTACAGGTAACAGCCATCCTAGGTGTGTTAAGATACCACGTCTGTCCTTTAGGCTCAAGTTGTTCATTTCAACCATGGTTACTTGGGCACTATAGAATTTGGAGTTATGGTAAAGTATGCACTGTTATTTTATTTGCAGCATTAATATGTTTTAAAGGATTACTACATGGTTATTTCTCCTATAAACATCACTAAATTTTTTAAACTTCCTTAATTACTTTCTAAATGTGAGTTGGATATTTATTTGGGTAAATTAAGTTCTTTTTAAATTTTTTTTAATGCTTCTAGGATTTTTGGTCACTTGAGACGTAGGAGAGATCCCTGAGAGAAATAATAATATTCCTACTAATTTATACAAGTGAAGGTTCAAGTAATTAATTTGAATTTTAAAAGACGTAACATCACTTGTATTCCAAACAGTCTTATCTGCTTATAAATAAATAAAACTAAACAATGGTTTAAATACACATAGGTAAAAAACAATTATGGAAATAAAAAGTATTAGTAGAAGGTCAAACACTGAGGAAAAATAATGGAATTATCTATTCACAACGGTTTATATGGTTTATATAACTGCTAGACCTGAATCTCAAATTTAGTTCTAGGATTTCTGTCAGCCAAACTGAAGAGTAAAAACAGAATAGTTTACAAGATAGAAGAAATATATCAGCTCCCCAGAAGAAACTAAGATCTTTGCCTTACATTAACATTTTTAAACATTTTAATTGATAAATATAACATGTGTGTAGAAAGTGAACAAAATGTACAGCTCGGTAGAGTATCACAAAACAAATACTTTTGTAATTAACAACTAGAACATGAAAATAAAGCCAATAAATACATGAAATTCTCTCCTCCCTCTGTCCACTTCTAATCACTGTCCCTTCCCCCTCCCAAAGGTAACTATTATCCTGACTTTTGTGGTAATCATTCCTAGATTTTTCTTTATCGTTTTAACACTAAAGCTTACATCTCTCTACAATATAGTAGAATTTTGCCTGAGGGAATTTATATGGGATTATTTAATATTATGGAGGAAGGTTGGGAGGTCTAGCCTTTTTTGCTCAACTTTGTGAGATTTATCCATGTTGTTGCACAGAGTTGTAGTTTTCATTTTCATTGCTATTTTGTTGTGTGAATATAGTTCAATATATTTATCATTCTACTATCAAAAAGCATTCGGTCCACTTACAGTATGAAGTAATTTTGAATTGAATTTTACTGCTAAAAGCATTTTTTATTTTTTTATTTTTTATTTTTCTTTTCTTTTCTTTTTTCTTTTTTTTTCTGTTGCCCAGGCTGGAATGCAGTGGCACAGTCATGACTCACAGCAGCTCAACTCCTGGGCTCAAGTGATTCTCCTTCCTAGCAGCTGGGACTACAGCCATGCACCAAAATGCCCAGCTAATTTTTTCTATTTTTTGTAGAGATGGGTTTTCGCCATGTTGCCCAGGCTGGTCTCAAACTCGTGGGCTCAAGCAATCCACCTGCCTCGGCTTCTCAAAGTGCTGGGATTACAGGCATAAGCCACTGCATCCCACCAAAGCATTTTTATAAACTGCATCTTGATGAACAAGTCCATGCATTTAAACAGAGAATATTTCTCAGAGTGGGACTGCTAGATCAAAAACTGTTTTTGAAAGTGGTTGTGCCAAATTATACTCTCACCAGCAGTACATGACAGCTTTCATTGGTGTACTTACCTATATTGTCAGTCTTTTTAACTTTAGCCATTCTGATATGGTTTTCATTTGTATTTTCTTGATTAAAAATGAATCTGATTTTTCCATAAGTTTGTTGATAATATTTTATCTTGTGAAGCTCCTGCTCAAGTGTCTTATCCACTTTGGGTTTTGATGGTCAATCATTTCCTTAGTGATTTGTATCAGTTCTTCATATAACCTATATACGGACTCTTAAATATATCTTATAAATATTTTCTCCCAATTTGTGCCTTGCCCTGCATTCTCTTTAATGTTGTTTTTCAACGGACAGAAGTTCTCAAATTATTAATTTTATGTAGTCACATTTGTAATTATGCCTGGTGATCTTTGTTTTATTTCAAATACATTCTCTGTCATGAAAACAATTTATACCTCCTAAAACATCATTTTATCTTTTCCAATTAAATTTATAATGAATATATATGCACCTGATTTGGGGATAAAGTTTTAGGTAAAAGTCATGTTTCTTTCTTTTTCTACGTGAATATCAAATAGACCGAGCACTATTTAATTTCAAAAGTCCTTTTACCATTGCTCAGGAGGGTCACCTTTGTCTTAAATCGTGTCCATTTATATGGAATTCTGTTCCTGTGCTATCCGGTTTCTTTCATCTTTGTCCTGTCACCATCATAACAGTCTTAATTACCATAACTTTACATAAGTCTTGATACCTGGTAGGTATCCACCCTCATTATTCTTCGAGAGATCTTCAAGAGTTTATTGATATTTTTGGTCCTTTGCATTTTCATATAAATTTTAGAAAAAACTTGTCATGTTACATCCACACACACACACACACACACTGGGCCTTCGTATGTATTTATGTTGAATCTATAGGTCAGTTTAGAAATAGCTGACACTGTAACATATTGAGTCTCACAACCTATAAGTATAGTATAACCATTTATTTAGGTCTTCATTTTCTTTCAAAAAAAAATTTTTTTTTTTTTTGAGACAGAGTCTTGCTCTATTGCCCAGGCTGGAGTGCAGTGGCATAATGTCGGCTCACTGCAATCTCCACCTCCCACGTTCAAGCAATTCTCTGCCTCAGCTCCCGAGTAACTGGGATTACAGGCACCCGCCACAACGCCTGGCTAATTTTTGTATTTGTTTTATTTATTTATTAATTAATTAATTTATTTATTTATATATAAACGAAGTCTCCCTCTGTTGCCTAGGCTGGAGTGCAGTTGCGCCATCTCAGCTCACTGCAAGTGCGGTGGCGCAATCTCAGTTCACTGCAACTTCCGCCTCCCGGGTTCAAGCAATTCTCCTGCCTCGGCCTCCCCAGTAGCTGGGACCACAGGCACATGCCACCAGGCCCAGCTAAATTTTTTGTATTTTTAGTGGAGACGGGGTTTCACCATGCTGGCCAGGCTGGTCTTGAACTCCTGACCTCGTGATCTGTCTGCCTTGGCCTCCCAAAGTGCTGGGATTACAGGCGTGAGCTATTGCGCCTGATCTCAAAAATGTTTTATAGTTCTCACTGTAGGAAGGACAATCTTTAACTTATTCCTAGTTACTTGCTATCTCGTGTACTATTATAAATAGTATCTCTTTAAAACTTGAATTTTATATTTGTTGCCAATCTAGTGAAACACATTGACCTTTGAATATTGACTTTATATCCAGCAACTCTTAAATTAATTTAGTAATTTTTTCTACTTTCTTTTGGATTTTTCTATGCACATACCATCTATGAAAAATTAGCTATATTTCCTTTTCTTGACAAATTCGAAGACCCTCAATAATCTGAATCTGACTAACGTGTAATTTTCATTATACATTCAATAAAAAGCTGCTAGTGTATTCAATCTCCATTCCATCTCACAAGCTCCCACTCTCAGTTTACGCTGACCTGACTACTACCCCTGCTATCCCCACCAGTCTAGAGGAATTTGAGCCCAGACGCTCCTCCAGAGCAGCCTCCGGTCCCGGCTGCGGAAGTGCGCACGCCCTCGGCACCTTAACAGCTCCCCCCGTCTCCGGGACCCAGCCAATCAGCGGCCGCCTCTTGCGCGCGCCCCACCGGTCAAAATGGCGGCTGCCGTTGTTGCTGAGTCCGGTTTGTAGTGCTGTTGCCCTACTCATCCCTTTCCAAAATGTGAAAGAAGAAACGGCTGGTGGAGGCGGGCCATAGGCAATGAGTCGGCGACGGAAACATGATGACAGCCCTAGCCCGAAGAAAACGCCGCACAAAACCGTGGCGGCTGAGGAATGCGGCTCGGTGGTCGAGCCAGGGAGGAGGCGGCTGAGGTCGGCCCGCGGTTCGTGGCCCTGCGGGGCTAGAGAGGGGCCTCCCGGGCCAGTGCGGCAGCGAGAGCAGCCTCCAACAGCCGCCTTGTGCAGTAAAAGTAACCCCGAGGGTGAGACGTCGGCAGCGCGGCCTGCCTTGGCTTCGGCGCCGCATCCCCACAGCCCAGCTTACAACAGGGAAATCTGGGGTGGGGGTGGAGTCTGGAGTGTGTATTGTGTCTCTGGGATTCACCCCTCGAGAGTCCAAAAATACTCCTATACCACTCCCCGATGGGCTTCTGTCCCCGAGCTTGAGCACTACCCCGTTAGGTTTGACCATCCACTTGCCTCCGCCACAGGAATAGGTCATGTGGTTTACCTGTTTGCGGGAGGGCGGCTGCTTTCCAGGCTGCTCCTCGGGTCAGCAGCGGTGGCGGAGCAAGGAGGAAGAGCTGATAGGCCGGCTAACCTCAGTTTATGCTCGGAGAAATTATTTCTGGTTAAACCTTGTTTCCCCCCCGCCCCCCCGCGACCTGCTTTAGAGAAGAGTTCATATGAAAAGTTAAAGTTTGTCTCAAAGCCTGGGCGATGTCTCACCTCATTATGAATAAACCGGAAGTTGCTGTCTGTAACATCCCTCCAAATAAGATACTAAGGATCCCTTTCCTCACTATTAGTTTTGGGTGCACTTTTTGAAAGACTTCTAGTAAATCTTAGTTGGAATTGAAACTCATACAAAAGCCTTTATTCTGGAGCATGTTCTTGAAATAGTGCTTTTTTTAACCTTACATGTCTTTTTTTGTTCTTTGTTTTTTGTTTTGAGAAGGAATCTTGCTCTGTCGCCCAGGCTGGAGTGCAGTGGCGCAATCTCGGCTCACTGCAACCTCCGCCTCCGTGGTTCAAGTGATTCTCCTGCCTCAGCCTCCCGGGTAGCTGGGACTACAGGCGCCCGCCACCACGCCCGGCTAATTTTTTGTATTTTTAGTAGAGAGGGGGTTTCACCGTGTTAGCCAGGATGGTCTGGATCTCCTGGCCTCGTGATCCGCCCGTCTTGGCCTCCCAAAGTTCTGGGATTACAAGCGTGAGCCACTGCGCCCGGCCACCTTACATGTCTTTAATACTCCCATAAAGCAATTCCGGAATGAACAAAAATCTTTATAAAAATTTGAAAGTTGGCCGGGCGCGGTGGCTCAAGCCTGTAATCCCAGCACTTTGGGAGGCCGAGGCGGGTGGATCACAAGGTCAGGAGATCGAGACCATCCTGACTAACATGGTGAAACCCCCTCTCTACTAAAAAATACAAAAAACTAGCCGGGCGAGGTGGCGGGCGCCTGTAGTCCCAGCTGCTCGGGAGGCTGAGGCAGGAGAATGGCGTGAACCCGGGAGGCAGAGCTTGCAGTGAGCGGAGATGGTGAAACTGCACTCCAGCCTGGGCAACAGAGCCAGACTCTGTCTCAAAAAAAAAAAAAAAATTTGGACGTTATTCTAGACAAAAATTCCCAAGCATTGGATCACTTACGCTTTTTGAAGAATTGCAATTAATGTAGATTAGAGCTGGTGAAAAGGGGCTAAACATATTTAGGTTTCTGTTGGGTGACTTTGGATTTTTGAATGTACCTATAAATTACAGATGGTTCCTCAAAGCCTCCAGGTCTCAATGATAATAAATAGAATGACTTAGGTTGTACAATATTATATTATGCATTCATAGAGCTTCTGGATTATCTAAAAGTGCTTGCTATTTACAATGTCAAGTTTGCGAAGTGCTGCATGGATTTTTATATGAAACAAGCATTTCAGTTATGGTTCAGGTAATTATCTCTGGGAAAAAAAATTATATTGGACTATGAAACTTAGTCTAAGCTATTATTTGACCCTGGGTTCTTATGAAGTAAGGTAATGCTTTAAAATGCCACAATTGTTATTTTACTCATATTTTATATAGACAGGTATGAAACACCAAAGAGAGTGCTGAAAATGGACTTACTGTCATCTTCCTTCAGTTCTCCTAATGATCCAGATGGACAGAATGATATCTTTTGGGATCAGAATTCTCCATTGACAAAGCAGTTAGGTAATTCATTATTAACATTATTTATGTGAGTAAATGTTTGATAAATGATTCAGATTTAACTAGAATTCTAGTCAGATAATAGCATCAGGAACCTCTGAGAATCTACATGATTTTATCTGCATAAGTATGTGATGTAAACACACAATGCTCTAAGCTGCACTAATTAAAATTATTTTCTAAGACGTGACAGCTATTTTTTAAAATTGAGGGTTTTTTGTTTAAAATTTATAGAAATGTCTTTCTTTCTTTTTCTTCAGGTAAAGGAAGAAAAAAACAGATTTATACCACAGATAGTGATGAGATTTCACATATTGTTAATCGTATTGCTCCTCAGGTAAATATCACTAGTTTTATAGTTTGTTTTAAAACAGTGAAGAATGTGCCACTAAGTTTTTGTAGTTTCTTTAAATGAAAAGTATTGTCTTTTATAATTCTTTTTTCTAAAAATAAGGCAGCAAAGATTACTATTTTGCCTTTTCTACTTTTGAAATGCATATTTTGAAAAAAGGAACGTAATATAAAATATTATAAGATATTTTCTTAAGTATATATCTTGTTTTAATTTTTTAGAGTAATTTTTGACTAGGGCATTGTGTTTATCTGTAATGTTGTGCTTAACAACATACGGCATTCATTTTTCAAGTTGCTAAAATAATAGAATAAGGCAGTCAAAAAAATTTAAACTTTTAAGATTGTTTTGTGATTGGTATTTACTGTCTATAACGTTTCCCCATTGAAACTATTCTTCTTAATACTCATTGACTTATAAGATTATCAAGAAACACTTACAAAAGCGGAGAGCACTGAATTCAAATTCAGTCTTCTCCTTCAGCCTCCTGTGCTGTGTGACCCAGTGCAAGTTATTTAAACTCTCACCACCTCAGTTCATTCAGCTGTGAACTAGAATTATTGTGTTCCTCTTGCTGTCTTCATTGGATCATTATGAGGATTAAACTAGATAAAAATTCTTTGTAAACTATAGAGTGCTATAATTGTAAGGTAATGTTAAAGTTGTTACCGTAATAGAACCATCTCCAAAGGTTTTTTTTTTTTCTTGGCCAGGCATGGTGACTCACTCCTGTGATCTCAGCATTTTGGGAGGAAGGCTGAGGCCAGGAGAAAGGGGAAGATTGCTTGAGGCCAGGAGTTTAAGACCCCATCTCTGAAAAAAAATTTTGAGTGTTTCATTTCTTTTTTTCATTTCTGTTCTTGTACTGTTGGAGTGAAATAGAAATATGTTCAAGTCAATCATTTGACACAAAGCAGTCCAATAACTCTAATATTACAATTACTAAGAAGCAAAGGCTTAATACATAAAACTGTTCTGAACTTCTTTACTTTTTGTTCTCTTTTTCTTATTTAACAACATTTAAATCCAGAGAACGTTTTTGCTTAGTGTCTTCTCTAAAGGAAGTATGCCATTTTTCCTTAACATGCCCTTGAATAGTTACTATATGTTGACCATAAACAATAGATGGCACTGGCCCAAAACATGGTTTGAAGAATTACTATCATTCAAGTGGAAGAGACAGGAAATGAAGTTTTTCTTAGCAGCTATAAAATATCCAAAATTACACCTAGCACAGTCAAAACAACTCTGTTGCTACTAGCTCTACATTCCATGTTTAGCATGTCATAGAAACTCATTTTACTTACAGTTCATTAGTTAAATAGCATTTATGCCATAATAATACTTACTCTATAAGTTAACAATAGATCTTCATTAATTGTGGGTTTCACATGAAAGAAGCATAATAAAATGTGTTTGGGCGGGCCAGTCTAAATAGTGATAAAAAGATAGTTGTGAATAAATTATTGGAGCCTTTACCTAACTGGGCTGGAAATAATAGCTCATATAAAGAAATGCCAACAGTATGCAAGTGGTAACTTGTATAAAAAGAAAAAAAATGGTGAAATTAGTAGCTTTAAAATGTTACCCTCTTAAACTGAGTACTTTTAAAGCATATAAATCTTTAGCAGTTTCAAGGTCTGCTTGAAAGCTTGTCATGTTCTCAGAATGACAAATATTTATATTGTTTATTTTTAGGTGAATCATTCTCAAATCATTATTTAATTTTCTTTTAACGTTTTCAGAGATAGCATTTTTTTTTAAATATGAGGTTTTATTTTGATTGGACAGTCAGTTCACTTTCTGCAGATATATTTTTTATACAGTGTTGTTTATTTGAAGATGGTATATATCTTCATTTATACAGCTTTGCACAGTATACCTTTTATAATGAAATGAAGTAATGCATTTAGATACCTTATACAGCACCTGGATTATGGTTGAAAATCAATAAATTATGTAATTATTCAGGAAGAAATATGTAATATGTACAAATAGTATACAAACATACATAGGAGCCATGTATATGTAAAGTTGGGTACATAAAGTCATAATTTAGTCCTCTGAAAATTGAATAAATTTAAAATTACTTTGGAAAATGGCAGAGTTCATAATTAAGACTATTATTTTCTTTAAATTCAAGATTGCTGAAATAAAAGGGAAAATATATATTGAGTCTGAAAGTGAAATTACTGATTTTCTTGAGTATTTGCAAAGCTAAAGGCAACTAGGTTCAAGTCGACACTAAGAAAACTTTTTTGATTCATTGAGGATTTGAAGTACCAAGTTGTAGGGATCTTTTCATCTAAATCTTCTAGTAAATAAATGTAAACTGACACTGTTATGCCCAGTATTGTGCTGAATGCTGAGTTATTCTAAGAAGAGTCCTTGCCTTTGAGTAGCCTATAACCTAGTAGTAATATTATTTTTTAACTTGTGTGATATTTATGTTCATTCTAGGTACTGTAAAATAGAGTGAAAATGGTTATTTGATTTGATTTGTTGGTTTGGTTTGCAATTAATGCCTAAAGCTCATTCTGTAATTTTTTTGTGTGATCAAGTGACTGAAAGGTACCCAAAAATATCCAAGTCTAAAATGGCTTTTTTCTATATATTATCGGGGTAAACTTTTCTGCTTTCTCTATTTTTTTATTCTTATTCCTATCTCATTCTTAGTTCTAACCTTGCTCTTACCTCTTAATTCAGTCCTGACCTCAATTCTGAGTGTTCTCAATTTAGGTCAACATGGATTGTCCAACTTTAGATAAAGGTTATAATAAGGATAAAGAAAATTTGGAGAAACAGATGATACAGAAAGTATAAGAATCTTAGGGCAATTAAAATGTCAATTTTCTTTTAATAAAAACGTGCTTCTGTTATTAAATGTACATTTGATAAATTTAATTCTTAAAACAATTTTTTTTTTTAAATAAGCAATTTGTAATTCTGAATATTTTCATTCTCTGAAACAAGTGGATCAATTCTTGTAGCTTATTATTGCTGTCTCCCAACTTCTTATTGTTTTTGAGTTTGTTTGGTAACTTACCTCACCAGAATTTAGGAAATTAATTCAAAGTAGTTTTTATTTTCTTTTTTATTTTGTTTTTCTGGAAGGGGGCGGGGTGCTACATTGGTACTTTATACCTCTTTTGTTCCCTATCTGCCAAAGGATGAAAAACCAACAACAAGTTCTATGCTGGACATGTGGATTGGTGAAACTGCTATTCCTTGTACTCCCAGTGTAGTGAAAGGAAAATCAAGAGCAAAAATCAGCTGCACAAAGTAAGTTAAGACTTTTCAGCTTTTCTGAAATTCAGTGAAGCAAATATTTTTTGATAATACTACATTTTTGTTTTGTGAATATATCAAAATTTTTGTTAATAAAATTTCCACAGTTTTGATCTATCAAATTTTGGAGTTAAAATAATTGTAAGTGTTAAAATCTTAGAGCTTTAACATCAAAATATGTTAAATAACAGTTGGATATAATGTCTCAGAACATTTTTAATTATAATTTTTAAATCTTGTTTAATAGGTTAAAAACACAAAATCAAGAAGAAGAACTTATGAAACTGGCTAAACAATTTGATAAAAATATGGAAGAGCTAGATGTGATTCAAGAGCAAAACAAGAGGAATTATGATTTTACCCAGATGATTTCAGAAACAGAGATTTTAAGTAATCATAAAGATAATACACAGATGCGGTCATTACATAATATAGTTCCCAAAATAGATAATGCTACAAAAAAGAAGCCAATCAAAGGAAACACCAAGGTATCTGTGGCAAATAATCAAAATAGCAGTCAGAAGCCATTTGACCAAACTGCTGAAGCAGCCTTTAATGCTATTTTTGATGGTTCTACTCAGAAATGTAGCGGACAGTTAAGCCAAGAACTGCCAGAAGCTTTTTGGAGCACCAGTAATACTACCTTTGTAAAGACAAATGCTTTGAAAGAGGAGAAAATCATTACTAATGAAACTCTGGTCATTGAAAAACTGTCAAATAAAACCCCACGATCACTTTCTTCTCAAGTAGATACACCCATAATGACAAAATCATGTGTGACTTCCTGTACTAAGAAGCCAGAAACTTCTAAGAGGTACATTGATGCATTTACTACCAGTGATTTTGAGGATGATTGGGAAAACTTACTAGGTAATGAACCTTTTGCTATGCAAAATGTCGACATGCCTGAACTCTTCCCCTGTAAAACAGCCCAGGTTACTGGTCAAAAGGAAATTTGTACCTTTAATAGTAAAACTGTTAAAAATATATCAAGAGCAAATACAAGTCCAGATGCCAGGTTAGGAGATTCAGAAGTATTACAAGATCTTTCTTCAAAGATATGTGACAGAGAATTAATAGGTGCAGAATATAGATTTTCACCAAATCCAAATAAATCAAACAAATTATCATCCACTAGAAATAAAATGAAATTTGAGAACTCTTCCAATAAAATCGTTATTGAAGACAAAATTCAAGATTGTATACTTACATCTAATCTGACAAAAATAAAGGAAGATACTCTTACTAAATCTACTGTGTATGCTTCTGAAAAGAAGTCAGCTTTGAACACAAGATATTCTAATGAGCAGAAAAATAAGTGCATTTTAAATCAAGCTGTTAAAGCCCCTGTTAATACTGATCTTTTTGGCTCTGCAAATCTAGGCAATGAAACCAGTGTTAGTAACCCAAATCAGACTAGTGCATCAAAATTAGGTTCTTTCTTTGATGATTGGAATGATCCCTCATTTGCCAATGAGATTATTAAAGCGTGTCATCAATTAGATAATACCTGGGAAGCAGATGATGTAGATGATGATTTGTTGTACCAAGCATGTGATGATATTGAAAGACTAACTCAGCAACAAGATATTAGAAAGGACAGTAAGACATCAGAAAGTATATGTGAGATCAATAATAATTCCGAACATGGAGCCAAAAACATGTTTACTATATCTAAACAAGGAAGTAATTTAGTACAATCAAAGCATTTGAATCCAGACAGCATTTCAGTGCAGACATCTTTGACAAATAGCTCACGAACAGATAAGCCAATGAAAATGGAGAAAGGGGAAATGTATGGAAATTCTCCAAGATTTTTAGGTGCCACAAATTTGACTATGTATTCTAAGATCTCAAACTGTCAGATAAATAATCTGCATGTGCCTTATACTAACACTGATGTTCCAATACAAGTGAATAGTTCCAAATTGGTTCTTTCGGGAAGTTCAAGTGTAACTTCAGATAATATGAATACAGAAATTGCTACTTACAAGAAGAAACTGAGTACTAAGCAGCTATGCCATAAGAGTATAACAGATGAATCTCAGAGCAACCATAACAAAACAGTTGGATTTTCAAAGTTTACATTTACAAGGATGAAAAATTCTCAGATTCTTTCTCAGTTTAATCAAAATTGTATAACTGGAAGTATGTCTGATACCAAAATTACACAGGGTGTGGAGAAAAAGAAAAGTGTCAACCCATTGCTAGAGGAAGCTGTTGGACAGCAATCTTTGGTGAAACTTTCTGAATCTTTGAAACAATCTTCAAAAGGTATGTATGAAATATGAAATAGTTTTCTTTGAAAAGTATCTTAAAAAGTAGTAAAATAATTATTTGTTGTTTTTGAGTGTGAGTAATAATATATAAGGTAAAACTATAACGTTTAACTAGAATTCTTAAAATGATACTTGGAAATAATTATACTGCATTATACAAAGAGTAGTTGGTTTATTTTTCAAAATATTACATTGAATTCTTTCCCAGCACTTAATACAATGACTGGCATATAGTAGGTACTCAGTAAATGTTTTTTGAATGATTTATTAATTGTTTCTTGGAAAATCAGACCTTTAGATAAATGTATTACAGTGTTCATTTTAAGATTGTATTTACTAAATTGTTTTAAAACTTGAGTAATCTAGGAAGCAGATGATGGAGCAGTGAGGTAAATAATATTTAGAAATTTAGAGCATTCTAATTAAACATGTTTACTAGTGTGATATTTGATATAAATGTGCTAGTGGTGATGGTTAAAATTGTGATTTACTTATTTGATAACAGCTATCATTTCTGATTCTTCCAGTTCCTCTTTTCTCTAATTCTCCATTCTATCAATAAGTTTCATTGTTTCTATCTCAAAAACCCTGTATCCCCAAACTATCCATTTTTCTTTCTACAACAAGTTAACATTTCTTGACGAGACTACTGCAGTTCTTTTATCTATCTCCTTTCAATTCTCATCTCCAAATAGTGGAATAGCCTTTTAAAATTGGATGGGCAAAAATGACGTTTCTATGCTTAAAACAACCTTCAGTGGCTGCCCATCATATTTCAGATAAAATCCAAACTGTATACTGTGAGCAACAAAGCTGTGGATTATCTCTCTTTAACCTGCGTCTCCTCTTTTTTCCTTACCTACTAAGCTTCAGCTATACCAGCTGTCTTTTAGTTTCTCAAACAGTTTATGTTTCTTCCTTGTCCAGGAACGTAGACCGTGCTCTTCCCTTTGACTAAAACTACTTCTTTTCAACATGTGACCCCTCCTCCACTCTTGTTGGTGCTTTCTTATATCTCAATATATTACTGCTTTCTCACAGAGGCCTTCCTTGAAGAGTCTCTAAATCTCCTTGTTTATTTTTTATTTCTTAATTGCTTTTATCACAAGTTGCAATTAAATTTTTAGTGACTCTTCTCTGTCTTGTTGGCATTACTGCTACAACTTTCCTATTTAAGTGACTTTTTTTAAATTTACAACAGTAATATGCTAGTTATTTAAAAAGAAAAGTAAAACAGTATAGAATAATTTGAAGTAAAACGTTAAGTCTTATGTTTCTCCTTTCTCATAACCATCCCTTAGGGAAAACCACTATTAATAGTTTGGTATACATTATGTAGCATTTTCTATGCATATAAAAAGGTATGTGTGTGTGTATATACATATATATGTGTATGCATATATACCTGCAGATTTATTTAAATATTAATAAATCTGTATACCCACTATTTGGCAACTTGCTTTTGCCTTAATATAGCTGTCTTTTCCTTTTAGTACATTTAAATTTATTTTAGTCCTGTTAATGACTAAGTGATATATATAGTGGATGTATCATAATTTAACTGTTTCTCTGTGATGGAAGTTTGGGTTGGTTGCAGTCTTTTGCAATTACAAACAATACTCCAGTAAATATCCTTCTACATAAATTTCTGCATGCTTATATAATTATATCTGTTAATTCCTAAAAAATTGCTACAAGAGAAAGTTTTAAAATTTGATGGATACCACCAAATTTCTGTCTGAAGCAGTTATACCAATTTATCTTGTCAACCCTGACAATAAATGATTGTCTACACCCAGGGTATCCAATCTTTTGGCTTCCCCAGGCCACATTGGAAGAATTATCTTGGACCACACATAAAATACACTGACACTCATAATATCTGATGAACTAAAAAAAAAAAAAAAAAAATCACAAAAAATCTCATAATATTTTAAGAAAGTTTATGAATTTGTGTTGGGCTGCATTCAAAGCCGTGTTGGGCTGCAGGTAGCCTGTGGGCTGCAGGTTGGATAGCTTTCTTTACATGATAGCCCAAACTAGATATTTTGAAATGTTAAAAATTGTTCTCAATCTATAATAATTTTAAGTATTTAAATTTGTATTAAAGTGAGTATATTGTAACTAATTCAAGCATGTTCCCAACATGAATTTATTTACAGATAGAGTTGACCATTGAACAATGGAGGGGTTACAGGCACTGATCTGATTTGCAGTCAAAAGTCTGTGTGTAACTTTTGATCCCCCAGAATCTTAACTGCTAATAGCCTGCTGTTGACCAGAAACCTTTCTGATAACAAGTAATTAATTAATGCATATTTTGTATGCTCTTATATGTATTATATACTGTATTCTTACCATAAGCTAGAGAAAGTGTTATTAAAATCATAAGGAAGAGAAAATAATATTTACTATTCATTAAGTGAAAGTGGATCATTATAAAGGTCTTCATCTTCATAATCTTCATGTCTAGTAGGCCGAGAAGGAAGAAGAGTAAGAGTTGGTCTTGTTGTCTCAGGGGTGTCAGATGCAGAAAACAACCTACAAATGAGTGGACTTGCCAGTTCAAGCCCATGTTGTTCAAGGGTCAACTATAGTTATAATTCTATAAAGACTAAACCTCCTGGAGTATTTGAGTTTTCCCAAAACTCCTATCTACCAATCTGTCTGCATTTTTCATGGATAATCTGCCTTTTCGCTTATCTCATCAATATTTTCTTTAAGCTTATTGATAGTACCGAGTCTCTTAATTACTATTAACTTTGTTGATGTTTTCTATTGTTTCTACTTCCTTTTACTTTGTTATGTAGCAAGCTGCTCTCCAGGGAAGTATCTCTGAAACAAAACTCACTTAACTCCCTCATTGATTTCAGGCAGGAGTTGGCAAACTATGATCCGTCCAAATCTAGCCTGCAGCTTGTTTATGTATAGCCAGCACACTAAAAATGATTTTTACATTTTAAATGGTTGGAAAAAAAGCAAAAGGAGAATAATATTTCATGACGTTTGAAAATTATATGAAATCCAGATTTCATTGTCCATAAACAGGTTTTATTTGAACACAGCTCATCAGTTATTTATACATTTTCCATAACTATTTTTGCTACAATGGTACAGGTGAGCAGTTGCAACAAGGTACTCAAAGGTTAACATTCTTGCTTTCTGACTCTACAGGAGAAAAAAAAAATTACTGACCCTTGCACTGTAAGATCAAGGTTAAGAAGAGCAGCTTTTGCATAGTACTTTACAATATTTTAAGACTTCATTGTGTATTTTTATTATAGACTGAGTTAAAGGAAGACTGATGAGAAAAATGGATGCGTCCCTAAATCAAATTTTCATGGTGTGACCTGATTATCATTTGAAATTATTTGCTATAATATTACCAAGCAAATTGTAAGAGCAACTTTAGGAAATTATATTTTCTGCTGTTGTAGATTATTAACCTGTTTTCACACAAATTCAGTGTAAAGTCTTTGTATGTGTAGTCTGAGTTTGTTCTGTTTCTCAGCTTTGATACTAAAGTATTAGATAATTAGTCATGCTAATTAGAAAGTATCTTCTGGTGTCTTTCTTTAGGGAAAAATAGCTACAGTCTGTTAGGTAAACAGCTTAGGAAATAAAAGCCATCAAAATCATCTGGGAAACTCCACTCAAAATATATATTTCTTAGGCTGAATACTCCCTCCCATTTTTGATTATACCAAGAAAGGAAAGGGAGGCAGATTATATGTTTTGGAAAATGCCTCTGTTAGTTAACAAGAGAAATGTCTCATAAATTGTGAATCTTTTTCTAGATGTCAGAATAAATGATATTTCTCTTCTGTCAATATTACAGATTCTTCTTTCTTAAAAAGCATATTTTACAACATAGACGGTTTTACTGGTGAAAGTTTACTTAAATATGTATTAGGGTGATAATCTTAAAATATCATTTAAATGAGAAAGTGATTTCTAATACAAAGCTTCAACTTAATTGAGATTATTTTAAAGTTTCTCCAAAATGCATCCTCCAAATAAAAATATAATTTCTAACAGTGAATCACAGGAAACCAGTCTGACATGAGAGATTTCATTTAATCACTCTAAAATATATTTCCTCAGTGGATGAAATGAAAACTTTAAAGGGAAAAGTAGATGTGAATATTAATATAACATCTTATGTAAATATACACTATTTGAGATACTGATAGCTAATTTAATTCCTTATATTTTGACTATTTTTCTATTAAAGCGTATATAACATTTAAAATCCCAATGTATCCTTTTTAAAGATATATTTATTCATAGGTCATATAAACTAGATGTCATTGTCCACAAGAATTATTTGGTGGGTAGTCAGTTTTCTATCAAATTGGATTTTATCACACTGTGGAAAGAATGTATCAAATAGAGACAAATCCATCAGTGCTTGATTTTCTTTTGAACTGGGGCGTTATATCTGTATTATGTACTTGGAATTTTATATTTAGTAGTTTAGTTTAATAGCCAACTAATATGGCAAATCTAGGTGATTAAAAAAGCAAAAATTAAAGCACATGTTGAATGACTTTATAGGCTATAAAAGTAAACTCATCTTTTGTTGAATTTTTAGAGGAAGAAGAGAAAAATAGAAAGTGTTCTCCTGAAGAAATTCAGAGAAAAAGACAAGAAGCGCTGGTTCGGAGAATGGCTAAAGCACGAGCCTCATCTGTAAATGCAGCTCCCACTTCATTTCTTTAATGAAATATTGGAAGACTTCACAAAGACTGCTGATAACTATCTGTGATAGGACATGTTTTTTTCTTGATTTCTCTGTGAGAAATGTAATGCTGACTTTTATAAAGCCTGGACTTCTACTTTATTTAATAAATCAATGTTTGCAATGGTAAATGAAACATTTCCTTGGACATGTATTTCAAAGTCATTACATATAAGTTTTAGAAATTCAGGAAAGTTAGCAATTATGTACAGATATTATACAGAGGAAAGTAGTTATATTTTTAAATGCTATTATTGCAGAGGATCATCAAAAAAGAGGTAATCGTTATTTCCTATTCTAATGTGTTTTCCTAATACAAAACTTCAACTTTCTATGTTAGTAGAGACGATTTTTGTTGTTTTACTTTCATTAACTGTTGCTTAAGGTTTTTATACACTTCCAGATTTTAATTAATACTTTCATATTTCTAGGAGCATGGTTGATATGAAATAAAGGACTTTATTTGTAAGGAAATTATTTTCAGTTCTTAGAAGTAGATTTGAATTTTAATAATTCTAAAATGTGACACATTTTGGAAACTTTCCACCATATTTAGGAAAACTCTGATTTTAGAAGTCTAGAATAGAAGAAAAGAAGTAGTGAATTGTCTACAAAAGTAATGTGGCATCATTAACATTTAGAACTGGCAGAAACTTCATATGTCGTCTGGTCCAGCTTCCTTATTGTGTCGGTGAGAAAACGTAATACTGTTTTCAAAGTCGTAGGTAAGTTAATGCTGTGCTACGATTAGAATGATTACTTTGGACACCTAAACAATTATACTATTTGCTTCAAAGTATTAGTACATAAAATAACTTGAGGGATTGTTATTTTCTAGTATAAAACAAAAGATGTAATTAAAATACAAAAGATGTAATAAGGACTGTTTGATAATCTCATTTTTCCTTATTTTGCTTTAAAGAATTAGCCTTTCCAGGATGTAAAAATGATAATCTTTTTTCTTTTCACTTTTTCTGTAACTGTGTAATTTTTCCCTCAATTAATTTACTTACTTTACTAATCTTTTCTTCTCTATTACTGTTTTGTTTTTTCTTTTTTTGCCGTTTTGCCTATTTGGAATTTGCTAAACCAATAATAGAAGTCCAACTAGAGGGCGTAAGGCAGGGAGGATGCTTTATTCCTCTTAAATGGTTTTAGGAGATCTAGGGAAAGTTAGAGATACGAAACACCTGTCATGGTGTGGCATTTATCACTATTCAGGTGTCTCAAAGCAGTGATAATATGGTAGTTACTGCCCTATAATTATGCAGATACTCCTTAACTCACCGTGGAGTTACGTCCCAATAAACCCATCATGAGTTGAAAATACCTTAAGTTAAAAATGCATTTACTACACTTAATCTACCCAACAACATAGCTTAGCCCAGCCTACCTTAAACATGCTCAAATCACTTATATTAGCCTAGAGTTGGGCAAATCTGGCAACATGACGCACTGTAGAGTATCAGTTGAGCTGGTGCCCAGCATTGTGAGAATGTTGTACCGCATATCTCTAGCATGGGAAAGAATCAAACTTTAAAGTATGGTTTCTGTTGAACGCATATCACTTTTGCACCACCTTAGAGTTGAAAAATTTTAAGTCAACCATTTTAAGTTGGAGACTGTACATCGTAAATGGTATTTTCATATATACAGTGGAGTACTGGAGTTTAGCTAACCTATATTACTTTTCTAGGAATATATAATAACCTAGATAAATGCAAGTAGTTTCTATGTAAGAAAATAAAGAGTGGAGAATCTTTTACTAAAAGTGGCTTCACTGTGTTCTGACTATGCTTTGGATATCTCTGTCCTTGCTTAAGCTCCTCCCTGCTTACTGCTTGCTTTTTTAAGAGTACTTTTAGGCTATTCTGTTCATTCATTTAGACTCAGCCTAATAAGTGTATTTCTTTGAGTCTCGTACCTAACCATCTTCACTGGAATTGATTATTCTCTCTGATCATAATGGTACTGATTATTGTGTCTTTCACTGAACAATTCTATTATGCCTTACATATTGTTTAGTTGTATAAATCTTATTTTATAATTTGTCATTTTGTGTCTCTGGTAATTCTGCCAAATTCTTACATAGCCCATAGTATTAGTTACATAATAGTTTCCTCTAAGTGATTCCCTTTTATTTAAAAAAAAAAAAAAAGAAAAGAAAAGAAAGAAAAGAAACTTTTATAGCACTTCTGGGTGGTGGCAGGTGTAGTAGCCCTATACATCTGAACCCGACATGACTGGTATTTAGGGTCACTGCTGCTGTTCATACCACTCTCCTTTCCTATCCTGATTCTTCCTTTCGCCCTTGTTGGAAACATTAGGGGGTGAATGGCCCATAAATGAGCATACAGAGGGCTGTCTATATAGTTTGCCTGGCTTTACTCTTTCCTAGTCTGTAGGGAATCTCTCGAGACAGATTCCCTACAGGAATCTGAAGAAGGGACAACTGGTAGCCTGGCAGTTTCTCCCTAAAGTTCTGCTGCTGTTTCTGCATCTCAGACTGATGCTAGTAATGCCATTATTTCCAAAAAGAGCCTGTTTAAAGTGGAGCTTATCTCTCATTAATCTTTTTCGGTTATAGACAGATGACCCTGATCCCAGGAACATTTGGGTTGCTTACTGCAGACAGTTGGTGGTATGCAGACATGTATCCTACCATGGGAAACACTGCCTTATATACTACCCTGTTATGACCAGGTTTTAAGTTACCAAGAACAGAGACACCTTACTCATTTCTGTCCACCTGATACTGATAGCCAGTGGTTACTCATTAAATGTTGAATGAATTTAGACAGAATCTGGTGGCAGAAATCCTGCCCTCCCCCACCTGAAACAATTTGACTCTGATTCTCTCAGTTTTAGGGTTGGGAAATGTTTCTAGGAAGAATTTAAGCCTAGCACTAGCATTAAGTAATTATTTAGAATCTGACCATGGATTTCAGTTCTTGCCAGGAGTGATCATAATCACTTGTGGGATCCTAAAACAAAAACTAAACTTGTCCTCCTGCCTTCTCTTAGACCTCATAAATGAGTAGATGTAGGATTTTATTTCAGATGTGTCTTTTGAAAGCCCATTGGCTATAGCAGGTACTATTGAAAATAAATGTAATTGCTAGACTTATAACATTGCTAAATGGCGTCAACTGTATTTAATTTACTTCTCAAAACAACCATATAAAGTAATACTTTTACACCCATTTTACAAATAGGGAAAGTAATCAGGTTGACTTTCTCAAAAATCCCACATTTAGAAGTTGGAACTAGAGTTTAAACCCAAATAATCTTAATTCCAAATATTGTGATCTTAGCCACTGAATATACTATCATCTGGAAACAATAAGAACTAGTTACCTATGGAAATTATCAGGAGACAATTAGAGCATTTGAGGCATTTATGCCAAAAATACCATGACTATTCTGTAGGTCTTTTATAGCCCAGGAGAATACTTTTTCCAATCCCAATTTCTGTTATAGATGATTGCTGTACTTTATGTGTGTGGGTACGTAGGTTTTGATTGTATTAGCCCATAAAGAGGTTATCTTTTTTCATTCAACTATTAAACAAAAGAATAGAGAATACATAAAATGCATAGCTACTTAAAAATGCCTTCATTTCACGTCATTATTTTAGTAACTTCTGGATGTTCTAGTTTTAAATCTATTGGGGAAAAATTAATTTCCTAGTCCAAGATGTAATGGCATACCTCAAGCTGCTAATAAAACTTCAATGCAAGTAGTAAAATTAAGGTTTCTGATTAGATGCACACTATATAGAGTACTGGTAATCAAACATTTTAAGTCCTAGGGCCTTTTTATACTCTTTAGTTGAGGACTCCAAAAAGGTTTTGCTTAAGGGGGTTTTATCTGTTTATATTTACCATATTAAAAGTCATATATTTATTAGTATATTTTAAAAGCCATTAGATGTTAACAAATGTGCCTGTTATGAAAAACATTTTTTAAAACAAAAATATGGCAAAGAAAATAGCATTACTTTTTGGCAACTCTTTGATATCCGACTGTATAGAAGATACCTGCATTCTCACATATATTTCGCCATTTAATTTGTTAAAATTGTTATAGTTGAAGTATACAGAAAAGTTCAGTCTCATACAGATATGTAGTTGGGAAAGGATGAAGTATTGTGATCGTCTTTTCAGATAATTGTGGATATTCTTCTTTGATATTACACCAACACTCAAAAAGTAATTTCTTAAAAATTAGTTGCATTCCAAGATGCAATAACAAGGACCCATGTACTCTTCTTTCTGAAATAACCAAATTTTAAAAAGACAAACTACATGAAAAAGTGGACTTCAAGATACTGGACATCAGCGTAATTAGGAAAGTGGAAATATGGATCTACACAAAGGAATGATGAACATTGGAAATGATAAACACATGGGTAAATATACAAGTTTCAAAAAGTTATTATGTCTCTTTAAAAGATAATTGGCTGGTTAAACAATAATAATGTGGCATTTATAACATGTCAAAGTTAAGTACATGACAATAGCATAAAGGCCAGAACGAAAATAATGAAAGAATAGACATTCCTTATTTTGCACTTCTGACATGCGTGAGGTTTGGTTACCTAACACTATTCCCCAAACAACACTGTTCAACTTTCTGTTAACACAAGTATATTATCTGTGAATAACTGCATGAAGTACAGACTTTATAGCTTCCTCAGTTCGCAAATCACTACCTAAATAACAGATGTGAATCATAAGTGACCAATCATGTCACTTCTATTCAAGGTCTGCTGTGATTGGTCACTGCACACCTGTAATTCATTACATACACAGCAAAGGTTGTAATTGTATGCCTCCTGAAAAACCCATGTGCTGTTTTATAAAGATGGATCTTTGAAAGGTGGAACTAACCAATAAAGATGAAAGTGTAGCAAAACAACAAAAAGCAATAACGTCGAAAGTGAAATTCAAATCCAGCATGAATGGAGGTATGGGAAAAATAGCCGTTGATGGGAATGTTGGCACCTTTCAAGAATCTATGCAGTCAGAGTTGCTTAGTGAAGGTAAACAATATGAGTGGGGAAAGTGGTTGTGACTAAAACATTTAAGATGTCCCAGAGGAAATGACATTGGCAAAAAACTTCACTTTGAATGGACTTTGGACTATTTCAAGACATTAAGAGTATAAATTTTAAAATATTGTAAGCTGAACCAAACTTGGAGTATAACTCATCATACCATGGAAAAGAGGGTCACCTTATATTGTAAGTTAATGAGAGGAAGAAAAAGGCAAGCATTGTTAAAACTACCTGATAAATTTTTTACACAAATAAAAAACTACTCAATATTTCTAATGTT